CAATAGCTTTTAGGGCATTTGACCCATTTACTCCAAACCACTTTTAAATAATAGTACTACCTGAGGGCTATGGGGCTCAGCCCTTGAAATTGTTCTTAAAAGCTTTTAACATTTTTAAATGATTTTTTTGGTTAAAAATACCTGTTTTTCTTCAATAGCTTTTAGGGCATTTGTCCCATTTACTCCAAACCACTTTTAAATAACAGTACTAAATGAGGGCTATGGGGCTCAGCCCTTGAAAGTTTTCTTAAAAGCTTTTAAAATTATGTTTTGCCTAAAAATACCTGTTTTTCTTCAATAGCTTTTAGGGCATTCAACCCACTCATCCCAAAACACTTTTAAATAATAGTAATACCTTAGGGCTATGGGGCTCAAGTTATGATTTATAATAAGCTTATATAATTTTTTTTATTACTGGACTTTTGTCTGTTTTTGAGTGTTTCCCAGCATTCCATAATTTTAGGGCAGTTCCAAAAGATGTGTTTGTTATCACCTGTTTGACCTCTCCAGCCTGTGCTGGGCACATTGTTAGATTTGAAAACATGTAGTGGTACCAGGAAGAAGCCCGATTTTAATTTCCACTCAAACTCCCTCCAAGTAGCACTGACAAAGCTTGCATGTCCTTCTCCAAATGTCTCTGCCCACTTTTCATTTGGTATTATAATTTTTCTTAGATCTGAGTTGAGGAAGCTCAGATCCTTCCATGTGTGCAGCAAACTGTCCAGTACTGTATGTGGTCTCCAGTGCCCTTTTTTACACTGTGGTCTGCTGGGGGAGCAGTACCCCCAAAGGGACCGCTCTCGGATTGACAAGCTGATCTGTATAGCTGGACAGGTGATTGGCTGTCAGCTGGAGACATTTACAACAATGAGAGACAGAAGGTCACTGGAAATAATGCTCTCCGTCATGGACAACCCAACACATCCACTCCACCGGACTATAGAGGGGCAAAGGAGCTCCTTATAAAAACAGACTCCGCTCCACTGCAACAGTGAGCGGTACAAGAGCACGTTCATGCCACAATCCATCCAGCTATTCAACAAGTCACCGCTCTGTGACAGATAATACATCTGCTTTGTCCTTATTCTGTATATTAACAGATGTATAATAGTATACTATTTCATACTGTAAATGTGTCCATATTCACTGATATGTATATTCCTGAGTACTTCTGATTGTTCTATTCTCACAAATATCTTATTATTCTTAATTTATATTCTTATTTTTAGATTTCCCTTGTGGATCAATAAAGTATAAGTCTTTCACTCTCTCACCTCTCTTTGATATCTGTATTATTGTCATCTTCCATATGCAGAGCTTTATATAGCTTTAAGCGTTTTCTTGCTATCTTGGTCCTGGGTTCAAATCCTGGTCGGACCAGGGCCTTTCTGAGTGGAATTTGTGTGTTCTCCCCGTGTCTGTGTGGGTTTCCTCCGGGTGCTCCGGTTTCCGGTTTTCTCCAACATTTAATTTCACCCCTACTACAGACAGTACGGTAAACACAGGGAGACATGTACGCTGGTATTTTATTATTAAAGAGCGACTAAACACCTGTGCCCAGCCTGGCTCTGCCCACATGAACATTTGAAAACAGGGCGTTGCCTGGAGAACCAAGGGACATGAAGTGGGGCTTAGAATTGGTCAGTCAAACAAAAAAAAAACAGACAATTGCCATTGCCGCTTAGAGCAATAGTTCACACCAGAAAGTCTCATTCCACCCTTGTTTACACACTAAGATTATTGTAAAGCTACACACTGTTACGTCCGGCTCAGCTAGCTAATGAACGCAACAAAAACCAGATGGAAATGGTATAGTGCATTTTAAGTAATTTCCATAATGATAGTAAATAAAATAATGTCACTATATAACAAAACTAGAGCTCAAAGTAACGAAGTGACAACATAACATAAAATAAAACAACAACACAGGAGGAGTGGTAAAGTCAGACTGGCACGGAACAGGTCCAGCTGCCTCGAGCTGGCGGAGAATGGGAGGTTATATGGGGACGCCCTCATTGATGGATCCCCGGGGTTGGAGGACGTCCTCGCACTTGTCCCGCTGCAGCCACTCAGATGACACACCGGCCCCGCCCACGCCCGAAGCTCCTCCAATAGATCACCTGCAGATCCTGTACAGAGCAAGGCGGCGCACACAAACACAAACAGCAACGGGAGCGCAATCTAGTGCACAACTGGCACAATAGGTCGTTGCCCGTAACACACACCTGAACCTAAGTCACTGAATTATTTTAGCAGAAGTGGCTGTCAACTAATAACGGCTAATTAACCGAGCGCGAGGTCTGTATGGAGAAATATCAGACCGCTGCCTTAATGTACAGACCGAGCCGTGGTGAGGTCTGTGCAAAAAGGCCAAGGTCTGATATTTCTCTCTACGAACCGAGCAAGCGACGTTAATAAATGTTTTATTATATGACTCTCGTCTGTGTCTTTATCAATGCTTTTGAGATATTTGTGAAGTATGTTCATGTCCGACTTGGTTTTGTGTGATAAGCGCTGCGGACAGATTGTCATGGTAACGGTCCGTGGAAAGATATTAAATGTGATACGCGCTGTTCGGACCAATTGTTATGGTAACGGTCCGAGATGGGAAAATATCAGACCGGTAATCAGCCAATCAGAGCGCGTGTACGGTCCAAGTCATATAATAATGTGATTTAATTTTAATCCACTAGATGTCGCCTGAATTCTCCAACCGGCTGCTGAGCCGTGTGTGAGAGTTGAAAGTGTTTATATCACTGGCGCAGACAAACGCATGTCACACACACCAACTGACGTCACACAGAATTCAGTCAATGGAGAGGCCCGGACCAAATTCAGATGTAGTGCCACCAAAAAGGTTGAGAGGGCGCCACACACACGTTTTTAGGCTCAAAAGTGAGATTTTATCTAATTTGCACTAAGATGTCAAAAAAAGGTCCAGCATTTGTAGAGAGCACTACAAATGAACATGTTTACGAGTAAAAAAAAGTTGATTTGGTGTTTAGTCTTTCTTTAAGTGTTTACTTTTAAGGTGACATTTTAAATCTGTCTAGGGGCAACAGATAAAAAATAACCTTGTGGCTAATTCTGTAATGTTCATGAATGTACACTGTCCTTGTCAAATAAACAAATAAATAATAGAAGAAGGTTGCAGTGTGTATCGACTTCCGTTTTTCCAAATAAACATACTTTGTCTCAGGCAGCCACTGTGTTGACATGATCCTATATTATATATCCATGAGTCAATAGATCACATGGCCTGGAAGCTATTGAGCTAAAATGCTAACATTAACAAACAAAAATTAATTTAAAATACTTAAAACATTTAAATGATACAAAAAAGACGTGCACCCCCTGCAGCAAGTGGAAGACTATGATCCTAAACTGATTTGGAGTAAATAGATCACATATGGATAGCATGTTATTGAAAACCGTGACGTCACCGGGCATGGAGCAGCCCAGGCCCCACCCTGGAGCCAGGCCTGGGTTGGGGCTCCTATGCGAGCCTCTGGTGGCCATGACGTGGGCAGGCCACCTGTGGACCAACCACCCACAGAGGGATCTGTGGGTGGAGAGGTGCTAAGAGGACTGGGGAGAAATCGAAAGCGGAGACTTCGACAACCCAGTCCACACTCTGCACACACAACATCTGACTCTTGGGACCGTGGAACGTCACCTCACTGGGGAGGAAGGAGCCGAGCTCGTGGGGGAGTTTGAGAGATACAGACTATAGATAGTCGGCCTCACCTCCACACATGGCTTGGGCTCTGGAACCCAACTCCTTGAGAGGGGTTAGGACGCTCCACTTTTCGTGTGTTTCTCGCGGGGAGAGGCGGCAAGCGGGGGTGGTCATTCTCATGGCCCCCCATCTCAGCCGCCATGTGTTGGAGTTCTCCCCGGTGAATGAGAGGGTCGCGTCCCTCCGCTTACTGGTGGGGGACAAGTCTCTCACTGTTGTGATTAACGGCAGTGCAAGGTACCTGGCCTTCTTGGAGTCCCTGTCCCTCAACGCCAATGTGGGAAATGGCAGTGACACTTGGAGAGGGGTGATCGGGAAGAACGGCCCCCCTCATCTCACCCAGAGCGGTGTTCAGTTGTTGGACTTCTGTGCCAGTCACGGTTTGTCCATCACAAACACCATGTTCGTAGGAAAGCCAAGCCGAGAAGTGCGCCCCTAGTGTTAGGTTTCGTTTTTGCATGTTAGTGTCACTTTTGTTTCTGAGCACGTATGCTATTAATAGAGCAACCACAGCAGCTAGATGCGCTGCAGAGACTTTTTTCGTGCATTAAGGACTCATTAACGTTGTTCCCTGTGTGTCAGTGTGCGTAAATGATCAAAAAGTAAGTGCAATGTGTGATTAGTTGACCAATGTGCCTGTTATAATCATATGTCCGTGTTTAGACTTAACACGTGTTTTCTTCAGTCTCACTTAGCATGAGTAATGTGACGTACATTTGTGAAGTAGAGTTCTAATGTTAATTGACCTGCTAATTCATAGTTTAAAGTTAATTCTATTTTTAGTATATTGTTATTTTACGTGAATTGTGTAGTTGACTGCCTGCCGCTGCGTCTCGCACCAAAGTAAAGGGTATGTCTGTAACTTTTGGGAGCACTCATATAAGTGCTGTTATTTTGCTCTTACAGCATTGCAGTGTCAATTTAGAGCTGTTATGTGTATGTTATGTATTATAATATATGCCTTGTAGTTATGTACAGTGTACAGTTTGTACATTTATTCATTATATTTTTTGTCTGTTCTTTGTTGCAGACCCACACACACACACACACACACACGTTACATATTTGTAACACACCGTGAATGTGAATAAACCAACGACTGAGAAATATCCCCCCTCTGGACCCTGATTCTCTGACCGGAATCTTTCCATACTGTTGCCGCCTCAACCAGTGTATATCCCTTAGTGGGCCAGTTAAATTATTGAGCCTCCACTTCATTTGGTCCTTCGAGCCGGATTGAGTGCACCCCCCACCGCACAGTATGGAAGCTGCAGATGCCCGAGAGCTCCAGGAAAGACCACAGAGAGAACGCCGTCTCCCTACGTATCTACTTGATTATGATGTTGGATACCCTCCACGACCCAACCATCCTAAAGCCGCTTCAACCAGTTCCTGCTCAAGCTCCAGCAGTAAACACAGAAGCCAATCTAGGAGATCCGGTAGTGGCTCCTTCCGCAGCATAGGCAGATCAAGTAGAGGTCATTTCCCGAACATAGAGTTCAACTCAACGCAGTCTGCTCTTCTGGAGGAAGGGTTGAGTCAAATCGAGCTTGATGACCTTAGACAGGAACTAGCTGAGGACACTCAAGCAGATATGGAGTATCAGCGCTTACAGCTCCAGGCTAAGGAGGCGCAGCGCGCACAAGAAGAAGCACTACTTGCTAAGGAGACTCTTCATAAACAACTGGATAGGAATCGTCGCCTGCAGGAAGCCCAGAGAAGGGTGAGAATGGCTAAACTGGTCTCCTCAGTCCTAAACACAGATGCGCAGGCTGTTTCACCAGAGCCCTCATTAACTCCTGAAGGCTACCTCCAGCTACCAGTATCCACACCGTCTGCTAGTAGCACAAGACCATCAGTTGTTATGGATACTATGTCCATTGCACATGCAGCTCAGCCACCTTCTGTGCCAAGACAACCCACACCTGTGCCAGACAACGTTCCGAGCCTTCTTCAAGCCACGCAGCCAACGCAGTATGTACCTCCTATCCACACACAGAGTACGAATACACTCATGATGCAGTCGCACTCGGACAATCATGCAGCTCAGCTTCCTCCTGCAGTTATGACTACACAATCTAATGTCGCACCCATAATGACCTCCGCCTTGTCTCCACCGATGTATGGCCAGCCTTTACCGTCTGCACTACAGACACTGCCAGCCCAAGGTCAACCAGCAGTCTCCCAGCCATTCTATCCATCATTTCAGCCCCGTGATCTTCCACCATTTGGATCAGATATGCTGATTGCTTCCACTTACGGTATTCCCAGGCCTACCCTGCCTTATTTTGAGAGTGGACGTGAAAGCGACTTTGCCCTGCTGAAGATGGCACTCGACAACCTCCTGAGTACCCACACTCACCTCAGTGAACAGTATAAGTATCAGGTACTACTCGGTCAGCTGAAGCACGCTAGCGCACTCCAACTTGCTAAAGCTCACATGTACCACCCACAGCCCTACACCACGGCCTTGAAAGCTCTTCAAGACAAGTACGGCCAACCACGGCAGCTCGTTCAATCTGAACTGGGTACAATATTGAGCATGCCAGCTTTCAAACCAGGAGACTTTGCTGCATTCGACTCCTTCGCCCTGGCGGTGCAGTCATTGGTTGGAATGCTAAGGTCACTTGAGGGTCATAACAGTTACGAGCTGATGTGTGGCTCTCACGTTGATCGCCTGCTGAGCAAGATGCCGCCACACCTCCGTGACAGCTTTGTGGAATACTGCCTGACCCGTGGTATCCTTCAGACAGGTACTAACAGAACATACACTCTTCCTGATCTAGCAGCTTGGTTGCAGGTTAAGTCTCAAGCCAAACAGATCTCAAGTCGCGCAGCATCACAGTTCACTGCTGAAACCCCCAAGCCGATGAATACTTACAGGAGTACGCATCCAAAGGACAGGGTTACTCCAGTTCTGCTAACACTTGATAGTAAGCCATCTGCCTCAACTACATCTAAAGCCCAACCTAACTCCAAGCCCAAGCCATATTGTCCATGGTGTGATAACACAGAGCATTATCTTAACTTCTGCAATGACTTTAAGAAACTTCACGTAAACGAGATCATAAAGTGGATCAAAGATGGAATAAGATGTTGGAGATGCGGTCGAAATCATAGTGCAGACACCTGTACTCTGAAACGCCCCTGCGAAGTCTGTAAAGAGACACACCTCACCATTCTCCATGAATCGGTTCAAGCCACTTCTGGGGCTTTCCTCATGGTCAATATCCCCTCCACTCAAATCTACTTTGACCGTCCTAACCGATCACAGCGCGTCATGCTGAAAGTAGTGAGTGTCCTTGTCCACAATGGAAATCGATCAATGCAAGCGTATGCCATACTGGATGATGGATCAGAAAGAACTGTTATTCTCCCCCCAGTTGTGCAACATCTGAACTTCAAGGGTGATTCCGAGACCCTGGCTCTCCGGACAGTGCATCGAAAAGTTGAACACATTGCTGGCTCATCTATCTCCTTTGAGATTTCTCCCATTGAGAACCCCTCTGAGAGGTACCACATTCGCAATGCCTTCTCAGCCCAAGAGCTCAGCCTAGCTGATGTGTCTTACCCCGTACATGCTCTCCAGCAGCGTTATCAGCACCTTAAGGGTCTTCCACTACGCCCGTTGAGTAATGTACAGCCACTCATTCTGATAGGGTCTGACGCACCTCACCTGCTCACCCCTATTCAGCCCATATGCAAAGGACCCCAATATGGACCAATCGCCGTTTGCACGCTCCTTGGATGGACACTGCAGGGCCCCATGAGTCCTTTCCAAAGTTCTCACAAGGAACAACAGTGTCTACATCTTGCCCTAACTGAAGATCGACAGCAGGAGTTAGTCAACAATGAGGAGCGCTTGTTGAATCTAGACGTTCTCCCCCCGAGCGAGAAAGCGCACACCAGTTCCAAACAGGATCAACAAGCATACAATCTTCCACAATGCGCAACCATCAGAGTTGATGTGCAAGGAGTGCAACACAACACCACTCCGTTGCTTTGCTGTGGTCCAGATGTTCAGCTTCAGGAATCTGCATTCATTGAAGCGATTATTACCGACTCTCCAGCCCCCGATGCTTCCCAGTTTCTGTCACGGGATGCCCTCGTCCAAGCCACTATGGGGGTTGTCAACGGGGCGGCTAACCCAAGCAGCGACAAGTCTAATGATGTTTCCCATGCAGAGAAGATAATACTTGCTCAGTCTCAGTTGGACTCGTTTCCTGAAGAGCTACTTCATCCAGGCCCTGAGAGAGTCTTGATTAAGAGGAGACGTCAGTATTTGGTGCTCACAGGCAGGGAAGCTCTCAGAAAGCTCCAGCACTCCTGCCATGAGCGTCAACACTGGCGTGCAAAGCCCACCATCTCGAAGACATCCAACTTTCCACACAACCGTTTACGCCAGCACAAGCATCCATTCTATTCCACTGGAGTGAACTGTTTTGGTCCGTTCTCTGTCAAGATCGGTCGGCGTAAAAGGAGGAGATGGAGACATTGTCAGATCTTGGCGGACAGCTTTTGGACAGCTTTCATCCGGAACTACCTTCCGAGTCTCCAAGAACGTCAGAAGTGGAGAACTGACACAAAGGAACTGGACACAGGCCAAGTTGTCCTCATCGTCGACCCACAGCTGCCGCGGGCTCTCTGGCCAGTGGGCTCCGTGACAGAGACGTTCAGAGGATCCGACGGACGCGTCCGGACTGCATCAGTGAAGGTCAACGAGAAGACTTACACTCGACCCGTTGCCCGGCTGATCTCCTTGCCGAAGATTGAAGAAGATGACCAGGACCCCACTGCTTGTCTTTCTAAATAGTTACAAATGTCATTGCTGACATTTGGGGGCGGCTGTGTAGGAAAGCCAAGCCGAGAAGTGCGCCCCTAGTGTTAGGTTTCGTTTTTGCATGTTAGTGTCACTTTTGTTTCTGAGCACGTATGCTATTAATAGAGCAACCACAGCAGCTAGATGCGCTGCAGAGACTTTTTTCGTGCATTAAGGACTCATTAACGTTGTTCCCTGTGTGTCAGTGTGCGTAAATGATCAAAAAGTAAGTGCAATGTGTGATTAGTTGACCAATGTGCCTGTTATAATCATATGTCCGTGTTTAGACTTAACACGTGTTTTCTTCAGTCTCACTTAGCATGAGTAATGTGACGTACATTTGTGAAGTAGAGTTCTAATGTTAATTGACCTGCTAATTCATAGTTTAAAGTTAATTCTATTTTTAGTATATTGTTATTTTACGTGAATTGTGTAGTTGACTGCCTGCCGCTGCGTCTCGCACCAAAGTAAAGGGTATGTCTGTAACTTTTGGGAGCACTCATATAAGTGCTGTTATTTTGCTCTTACAGCATTGCAGTGTCAATTTAGAGCTGTTATGTGTATGTTATGTATTATAATATATGCCTTGTAGTTATGTACAGTGTACAGTTTGTACATTTATTCATTATATTTTTTGTCTGTTCTTTGTTGCAGACCACACACACACACACACACACACGTTACATATTTGTAACACACCGTGAATGTGAATAAACCAACGACTGAGAAATATCCCCCCTCTGGACCCTGATTCTCTGACCGGAATCTTTCCATACTGTTGCCGCCTCAACCAGTGTATATCCCTTAGTGGGCCAGTTAAATTATTGAGCCTCCACTTCACCTTCCCCCCTGTACGTGAACTCCTCCAGCAGGATAGTGCTCTCCTGCAGACCCATGCTCATTTTAATTACTCTGCTTTTGTTCTTACGTTGATACAAATGAATGTTTTCTTCACAAATTTACAGTCTTACCCTTACACAACATTGATGATTCATGTACGTGAAAACATCCATCCATCCATCCATTTTCTACCCTTTAATCCATTTCTGGGTCAGGGGGGTGGCAGTCAGAGATGCCACCCAAGTCTCATAGCACCAGCCCCTCACTGACCCTCTGCAGGTGGTGAGTCCACAGGAGGATCAACGTGAAACGTGAAAACAGTCTACAATATTTATCAAGAGTAAAATACTTACTCACTTAGCAGTTTACTCTTATAGAGCTTTTTCCCTCCACAATGTAAATTAAAATACGTTGTTCTTTTATATTTTGTATATGAATCAGTTGGAGGTTGGAGAACGAAAGTGCAATTCTATAAAATATCGTATAACTCAGTTGTACTTGGATTGTATTAAAATGTGAAAACATTGGAGGTTTTCTAGAACCAAGTAAATTCCCAACACTGAATTTCACAGAGCAAGGAGAACATGACATCGTCTGGACGAAACAAGCCAATAACAAATCCCTCTACGTAGGCCTTTTCTAATTCTAATTTGCAAACCTAACCTAAAAGTAAAATGAAAACAAGGAAAAAAGAATACTCCAGTCCTTACACAGGCCTTGGGTCTTTCAGAACAAAAGTTCAGTCATGATAAATACTATTTACTAAAGTTTGTTGTACTCTGTGAATAGAATCGAAGAGGACAAATAAGATGAACGATGTTGTTTATAATGTAAATACATGATGTGAATCACAGGTGTTAACTGTTCAGTAATCATTGCTTGTCAGTGAACACCTTAGACTGTGAACACACGGAGGTGATAGGTATAGTTTGTAACTTTTAAAACTGCACGAACAGGATCAGTATATTTATGTTAATAAGTGTATCACTCCTGCATGTGTTTTAACAGTTGCTCAAATACATAAATAAATATGTATATGTTATAGTAGATGTATGCAGAGTGTAATATGAATAACGCGTTACAGATTACAACCGCGCCAGAACGCAGCGGGGCCGTGGGACTGGTGGCGTCTCTCTCACCAGACATCGCACGCGCCTCCTGATTGGCTCGCACGCTGCACCACGCACGCACACGACCGGAAGCGGATGGTGATTGGACCGCGAGGAGCAGGGACACAGCTTAGTGCTCGTCCTCCCGTCACACATAAATACTTGGCTTACAAGGGCGAACGAGGCTGAGACAACAGAAATACAAGACTGAAAATCTCCTATTTCACTTCCTCCACAACCACCTCAGGTAAGTGCGTGCTGCTCTCTGGGAATCTTCACTGCGCTTACGTCAAGGGTGTCCTGCCCGTGTGTCTGAGTTTACAAACAAGCGGCTCTTCCTTATGTCCGACCATATACCATGCCCAGTAATTAGTTTATTTACAGGATTTCTCCATTAAATCCAGCACCGTCCATGGCTTATCCAATGTAGCGCTACGAAAGGAAATAGTTCCGTCTCCTATTTTGTCCGGGTATCAGTGAGAGTTTGAGTGTTTTTACAGATCAGGTTAATTGTGTATGTTTTGTTATTTACATTGATTATAAGCTGTAGGACTTGTGAAGTGTATTATCTGACCTGTGTCTGGGTTTATGCTATGTTCAAATGACTAAGTCGGGAGAAATCCTGTTGCCCTTTCACCTACTTGTGCTCCGGGGGACGTTACATTACATTACACTGCCACTCCAGGGTATATCCACTAGTTTAGAGGAGCCCTATAAGCAAAACCCATTTTTATTGCTAGTGAGCAGATAGTATGTGTTTTGTTTAACTGGATGAGCGAGTTTAGTATAAGGCTTTAGATTGACCACATATATTTGTTGTTTTTAAACTTTTCTTGGATGTTACAGAATGCCTGGATCTTCCTCAACTGGTTGTTTGGGACCATGGCCCAAAGATGTCGGGATTATTGCTTTGGAGTTGTACATTCCTTCCCAATATGTGGACCAGAGTGAACTTGAGCAGTTTGATGGCGTTTCGGCTGGAAAGTACACAGTGGGTCTGGGCCAAGCTGGGATGGGTTTCTGCTCTGACAGAGAGGACATCAACTCTCTGTGTCTGACAGTGGTACAGAGGCTAATGGAGAGGAACAACCTGTCCTATGACAGTGTGGGAAGACTGGAGGTTGGGACAGAGACTATTATTGACAAATCAAAGTCCGTGAAGACTGTTCTCATGCAGCTTTTTGAGGACTCTGGAAACTCTGACGTTGAGGGTATTGATACAACCAATGCTTGCTATGGAGGCACAGCAGCACTCTTTAATGCTGTCAACTGGGTCGAGTCCAGCTCTTGGGATGGTAAGATTGTCTGTTTTATTATTTAAAAAAGGTTAATTTACCAGGTTAACCAAACACTTATTCCGTAGGCCGCTATGCTTTGGTTGTGGCTGGGGATATAGCTGTCTATGCGACTGGAGGAGCACGGCCCACAGGTGGGGCAGGTGCTGTGGCTATGCTTGTGGGGCCAAATGCTCCATTGGCCTTTGAGAGAGGTTGGTATATTTCAAATCTGCTATCATCTAGATATCTTTTCTATATACAACTTGCTTCTTGTTCTTTTTGGTGAATTTATGAAATTTATAATTTTGTATTTTATAAACAATTTTTTCAGGTCTTCGAGGAACTCACATGCAGCATGCATATGATTTTTATAAACCGGACATGGTTTCAGAATATCCAGTGGTGGATGGAAAGCTTTCTATAGAGTGTTACCTGAGTGCTTTGGACCGTTGTTATTCAGTGTACCGCAATAAGGTCCATGCTCAATGGCAAAGAGGTAAGGATGTCTTTTATTTGAATGGAATGGATGGAAGATTTAAAATCTATGATTGTACTATAATAGCAATAATGTGGAGTTGGTTGAAAGTAAGACTCTATAGACCTGTCTATAGCCTGGACACATAATAGTTTAATTGGATGAGGGGGTTAAGAATGTCACCAAAAGGATTTGTACAATGCTTCATCTGCCGATATGTATACCTGTGTTTAATCACTGGTATGTTTTTGACATACAACACATTGGCACAGTTCCTTAAAAGCAAAAACAATAACTTGCAATAGTACACTTTACTGTTCATTCACAGACAAACAAATGTAGCCTGGTCGTACCACACCATAGTACAAATTACATTTCGTACTAAGGTCTGGAGGTGCTCCATTGAGCTCTGTTAAGAGGTGGGAGGGGTTAACTCCTTTTGCGGATTGAAACGATTGGAGCCCGTGGGGAGTAAAGCCACAATCTTTGCCAGCAATTACATTTGCTAAACATTCCTCTTGCTCCGGCTTCAATTTCTTGATAGAACCAGACCGGATTACTTTAGTATCGCATTCTTCGCCATTGCCAAACTACAACCTGCCCGTTCGGTGCAAACTCTTGATGTCACCCACATCTCACTACAACACCTGCCTCCCGCGCTCGCTGATTGGTCAAATGGAATTCAAACGATTGTAATCGCAAACACAGAATGGCTAAGACAAATGGCATCATGTGTTAGAAAAAAAAAAGTATAAAAAAGTGCACTGAAATGAGGTCTAAATATAAACAACCAGTGAAACCCAAAGTCAGCTCATCTCTTCATTGAGTTACAATTGCTTCTCTACTCGCCTATGGGTAAAAGCCTTTTTCTTCCTTAGGCATGTCATTTGGTGCAGTGGTTCTTTTGGCACCCCCTTCAGTTTATATTGCTGCTTCCCTATGAGCTCATTTTTCTGGCTATTTTAACTCTCAGACCTGTATTCACAAACCGTAATACATTTTGTTTCAGGGGGTTTGGAAAAGCATTTCAGCCTGGAGGACTTTGGTTATCTGGTGTTTCACTCTCCATACTGCAAACTTGTTCAGAAGTCACTGGCGAGATTGATGCTGAACGACTTCTTGAATCACCCAAACCCAAACACGGAGGTGGGACCTTTCACAGGCTTGGATGCTTTCAGGTAAACAAGGGTCCTTTCTTGATGTAAAGTTGGAGCTATAACTGTTCATATTTAATTATATTTAATATATATTTCAGAGATGTCAAGCCCGAGGAGACCTACTTTGACCGTGATGTGGAAAAGGCCTTCATGAAGGCCAGTGCTGAGCTGTTTGAGACAAAGACTAAACCCTCTTTACTCATTTCAAATCAGAATGGAAACATGTACACCCCATCTGTCTATGGCTGTCTTGCATCTCTTATTGCACAGTAAGAGATCCTCTGGTTTCTGTTGGAAATGTCACTCACTCTTTACACAATTCAGAATGTTGAGATATTTATGTCAAGTCTGTTTTGTAGGAAAACTGCGGCTCAGATAGCTGGTCAAAGGGTTGGAGTTTTCTCTTATGGCTCTGGATTTGCAGCTACTCTGTATTCTCTCCGCATCACTCAGGACCACACCCCTGGTGAGTCTGCATGTGCTGCGTTTAAATCGTCCTCAAGAGTCTGAGTTTAGATGTTTTAGATGTTGGATGTTCCAATATGATTCTCGTCCTCAAGAGTCTGAGTTTAGATGTTTTAGATGTTGGATGTTCCAATATGATTCTGTTACTGTTTAATTGTTCCTAATATGAAATTAACTTGCAGTATTACAGTATATACATACAGCAATATGACACACAAACACTGATGTCATGAAACAACACAAACCTTTTCAGTACTTTAAAAAAAATGCATTGAGCTTAACCATGCTGTGAATTCTTCTGTTGGATCGGTCCTAATGTCTACTCCACACACTGAGATGCACTGATTTACCATTAAATATATAATTTGCAGGATCCACTTTGGACAAACTCGTCAGCAGCCTAAGTGACCTGAAGCTCAGACTTGACTCGCGGAGGAAGGTTCCTCCTGCTCTCTTTTCAGAAACTATGAAATTGAGGGAAGAGACGCATCATTTAGGTTTGTATTTTGGTAACGACTGAAAATCTTACTGCCAAGTACTGACTGATAATGTTTTTTTACAGCTAGTTATGTTCCCCGTGGGCCAGTGGATGAACTCTTTCCTGGAACTTGGTACCTGACACGAGTGGATGAGAAGCACAGAAGAGAGTACGCCCGGTGTCCTGTGGAATGTGAGGAGCAGGCAGAGTCCAAGCTCGTCTGCTCAAATACAGAGGTAACGGCAAGTATCAGTCATGTAGCTGCACTATATAGAACCATCTGTTCTCCTTCCCTTTGTATGGACCAGTCATTTATTAAGTTATTTTAAATTAATTTGTTATTTATATATGACTGTTGCAGCATATCCCCAGTCCGGTCAAGAAAATGCCTCGCATCCCTGCTGCTGCTGCTGGCTCTGAAACTGCAATGAGCAGTTAAGATGATCCTTACCTCTAAGAGGTATTAAAGTCCGACCACTTGCTATCCACTTGTCAAATTGAACTGCCTGGACAATTGCCATCATCATGAATGCTGTCAAACAGTCATGCAGATGTCTCATAATATCCTTTACGCTACTTTTATGGCCTGAGCGAGTTCAACAATGAAATGGTCCAGCAAGTCAGGATTCCTCTGAAAAATGAATGAGAAGCACTATATGCAACGACATGGTGCTGATGCTGCTGCTCCAAGTCTGAAGTGGAGCTCATCCGCAATACCTCAGTTTTCATTCAAAAAGAACAGACGTTTTTCACTTTGGCTGGATTTACTTTATAAAACAACTGTTCCTGGTGAGCTTTTACTTTGTGTTTAACTATTATCCCTTTAGGCGCCAAAGTAGCAGACTGGACGACGCATGACGACACTTTCTGTACTGACATCCCACAAACATCTCCCCACATGTTTCTCAAATATTTGTTTTAATTTATTCACGTTCTTGTGTTTAGCGGTGGTTTTTCACTTAATTTTAGGTTTCCACCTTTTCCTTGTTTCACATCACATTGTCATCTAAAGGGTTAATCCTCCCATTTTAAATCAATTATAATGAACATTTTTTATATATATATATATATATATATATATAATATATATCATGCTGTATTGGACAATATTATGGTACACGCTTTATGCGGTGGTACACTTCTGAGAAGCAATTCAAATTAAGATATTTTGGAAATTATGGACAAAATTTAGTTTTTCCATTCATAAAAAAAATTGCGTTCCCATGTTAAATACGAGATCAGCGTGACTCATATCAGTCTGTTCACATTAAGAGGTGACTGTGAGTCATCTTTGACTCGGCCTTATTGCAAAAGGGCTTTTGTTTTTAAAAAATGTCATTTGTTCATAGTTTTATATAGTTGTTGTTGAGCCCAGACTATGGTTGCACTTAAACAGAACTGGCATCGTTTACTTTGGTATTTCTCTGTTCTTGAAGACTAAGACTGCAATCAACTGAAGCCTTACTGAAGCATGAACATCTGCTTACTTGTAACAATACTGTAAATACAATATATATAATAGACTCGCCAGATATTCCTGTCTGTAGAGGTCTAGTCTTATACCATGCCTCATCTGTAAGATTATCTAAGAAAGGAATTAAGAGAAATGTAAAACTGAATAAATGTTTATTCAATCATGTCTTGACTCGCATCATAATTTTGTCAGATGTTCAATACAATTAAGTTAATTGTCAGAAGAAGCCACGTTTCATCTTTTGGCGAGTGCTATAGGAATTTGGAACATCCACAAGAGGGCGCTATCTAGCCGTGTTAAAGTCTATACAGATTCATGACGCGCCCCTACATCACGGTCTTGCATATTGATTAAAATTTTTGATTCAATTTTAAGTCTTTATTTGCTTCCTGCTGGGACGGTAAAAGTATGACAGTTTTACTCACCATTGACCTAAAGCTGGGGTACATAACTTAAAAAAAAAGCAACATAAAAATCCATCTAACTAGTTTCTCGCTCCTAAAACAGTCAGGTTTTATCACTTCTTTCCACATGCCTTTTTATTTTTAACCTCTTTACATCAGCTTTTTTAGACAGGACCACCCTCAGCCAATCAGTCCCCAGCACAATGCGTCAAATAGTGACGCACAGAGATTTCTTATGCAAAGATACAATATTTTAGATAAATACAGCGTTAAGTTGGTTACTTTTGCAAGACTTTCTATTGGGACACACCCCATGAGATATTAACGAAGACGAAACAAGTGACCCCAGCTTTAAACCTGTTCACATAACGGGTCTTTGCTATAGATGTTTAGTTCAATGGTTATTATCAGGTTGGGGAGGTGCAGAACAGGCCCATGGTATGCGCCCATCAGCACGCACCACCCACCAGAAGAGCCGTAGACTCACAGCGACACGGCCCGCCTGGGTGGAGCCATCACGGCCACTGCTCGGAGCGGATAAGGAGGGGAACTCGAGAGAAAAACGGAAAGAAATCGCCATCTAATCGTTCCCCTTGCTTTAAACGCGACAATCTCGGGGAATTTCAGACACACACCATCCGCGCATTTGGAACAGAAAGACGCAGCGGGAGAGACGACGTTCGCCCAGGTCAGAAACATCTTAAGATTTGTGAAGTTTTGAGCAAAAGTTTCCACCATTCAAGCAGCGCTACACTTTACGTCAGCACGCAAACTCCTTAAAAACCCTGTCAAATGTCTCCGCTTGTACACAGGCGATCACTCAACCAAACGCGAGTTATTTGGTTGCAATGTTAGTCGTTCATTTTTTTGTAATTAGCACTATATGTTTTTAATTCTCCAGGCGTCACTCAGACAGCGTTTAGCCTTTGCCTCACATACCTACACGCAGACGATTGTACTGTATGTACGTGGGGGCTGCAGCCTCATAAATCCAACCAGAAAAGGAAAGGCCGGGGATAAATATTTGGTTGCACTTTATTTTGGCGACTTTATGGGTTGTAGCTCCAGGGTCATATCCCCTTGACATGGACATTTGACCTTACACCGATCTCTTGTGTGTTGTATGTGTGTGTGATAGAAGTATGCATGAGGATAGGTCTGTAGGGCAGCGCGTTCAGGAACAACACACACACACACACACACACACACACACACACACACACACACACACACACACACACACACACACACACACACACACACACACACACACACACACACACACACACACACACACACACACACAAAGTCAAGCCTCCGGGCGTAAGTTTTCACACTAAGCTGCTGTTGTGTTGGTTTGTGTGCATATGTGTGTGTGTGTGTGTGTGTGTGAGAAAGAGACACACACACAAGAATTTGCACGAAGAACAGTAACTTTAGAGCGTTGTATGTTGTCAGCAAAAATGCAGGTGAGTAATTTGAAGTAATGCAAAGGACCCAGTGCTCCTGCTGCTTGGACTAATAGCAGCATTCACCGCTGCAGTGAAGTTCCCCTGGGCCTTTGCATGCTGCCACATGATGAGCGTCTATCTGTAACGTTCTCTTCTGGCCCCTCACCACCCCTATGTTGCACATCTATAACAATGCATTTGCCCTACAATTTACTATACATTCATTCACAAACATAGAAGTCATTTGGATGTAACCTTCCAGGACCTAAATGATTAGTTCTGTCCAAACATATTGTATTGGTGTCACTGACATATTGCTATTGGATACTGTGGCAGACTTTTATGAGCCCTACACCAAATCCAGATGGGGACATTGCAGTGTCAGAGTTAAGGTGGAGTAGTGTTGGTCACTTCCTGCTTCAGTATTTCTGCTTTGCTGAGAAGGCATGAACATGTTCTTGGCATTTGTTCTTGTATGACTGGAGGGATTGTCATGATGTCAAGGAAAAGCCATCATAATACCAAAAAACATATCACAGTTTATTCACGTGGTTCTTTTAAAGGTGAGGCCAGTCTCTGTCTAGGTTTCTTCAGAATGGTTTAAGCAGTAGTAATAATGTGATTACTATATAATGAGGCTGTTGATGAGCAGCGCCTCTCAGACCTATACCACTTCTCAAACACATTCATGCACTGTGGTTCTCAAACGTTTCCGCCAGGGTCAGACCAGACATTTGTTGGGTCTAAGATAAGATAAGACAAACCTTTATTCGTCTCACAGTGGAGACATTTCAGTGTCATTGTTGCGCACATTACAGCAGAGAAAGAAGGAAATAAGAGCACTCAGATTGCACACATCAAATAAGTCTGTTATTTAAGATAATAGACAATAAAATTAAGATAAAGAATAAAATAAAATAAAATAAGATAAACTCTGGGGCTATAATTGCACTTGGTTCAGAAGTATTTACCGGTGTCTATATTGTACTTTAGCAGTGGAGAATATGAATAATAATGGGGTGCTGGGGTCTTCCATTAGGGTTGTGCAAAAATTCAACATTTTGTAAATCTCAATTCTGGTGGATTTAGATTATCAACACCTGAATACAAATTGATGGACACGAACAATGTGGTTATAAGAGCAGAAGGGGCTAAACCAGGGGTCTTCAACCTGTACCTCGGGAGTTGCCAGTATCTCGCCAACCGATTCACAATTTTGATCTAATTTACCTTTACATGGTTTCATTATGTCCACTGCTGTAGGGTTATGCATTAATATTATAAATGTTACTGAACAAAATGTCCATGATCTACTACAGTACAGACTAGTTTTATTACAACTGCAAAAAAGACTAGCTCTTTGCCATTTCTGTTGCGCAAAAGTAACTCTCCAATCGAAAATTGTTGGAGACCCCTGGGGTAAACCATTCAGATAAAAAGTCAGGAATAGAACAGCACAAGTTTGTTTACTTCGACTCACTCGTGTGTGCTCTCTCTGTGTGAGAAAATGTGTCACTGTGAGGAGCAGGAGGGTGGGTGAGTGTGTTAGGAGTGGAGTTTGCATGTTCTTCTCGAGTCTGTGAAGGTTTCCTGGGGGTGCTCTACAAAAGAGGTAAATCCTCCAGCTCTGGTCCCGACCAAGTCGAGCATCAACGTCTGGAGATGGGTCTCTTGGTGCTTCACTACGGCGACCACTGCTGTCAGAAGTGATTTTTGAAGTATGGGTCAAATGCAGAGGACATCAGAGAATCAAAATTGGTCATTATAGAGAAAAAGTAATGTGTATATATATATATATATATATATATATATATATATATATATATATATATATATATATATATATACAACAAAACTACTGCATGAAGATTCTCAATTTAAGAATTCGACGACTTAACATAGAGATTATAAACCTAAAGGACGAGATAGAGGGCCTTAAGCACAAACTGGAATTGGCAGTCTCACCAGAGTTTTTTCAGAGGATTTGGGCGTTTACGGAAACTGCCCAACTGAACCATCACAAGAAGGCCAAAGAACGTCAGGTAGGCAAATTTCTAAAACTCCAAAACCATAATTCTTTTCAACATTCTAAAAGTGAAATTGGACAAGGTTTGGACAGGGAGAATTGGGTCAAAAATCTGTCTGATCGGCATTTATCACAAGCGGAAAAAGATGTTCTTAACAAAGGCCTAAATTTTGCAATAACCCCAAAAGATATTCCTACAATTGAATACATCACAGCAGCAGAAGCAGCCATTAGAAACAACAAACTAACTGAGAGTGAGGCAGGGGCCCTCAGACTGAGAGTCTCTGCCACACTCAAAAGTGCGAAGCCCCCACAATCCAATGTCTCATTAGATGAGCAAAAAGCATTATTGGCATTACAAAAGGATGAGAATATAACTATTTTACCAGCTGACAAAGGCAGATGCACAGTTATCCTCAACAGCTCAGACTATGAGGCCAAAGTTAATCAGTTACTCTTGGACACCAACACGTACCAGCCATTGGAAGAGGGACCCTACCAGTGGGTTTAGGAAAAAGATTATAGACTTCCTTCAGAACTTAATGAAAGAGGGCATTATTGAAAAACCACTATATTACAAACTTTACCCAGGAGACACCATCCCCAGTATTTATGGCCTCCCAAAAATACACAAACAAAACTTTCCACTTCGGCCTATTGTATGTAGCATAGACTCTATCACCTACAACCTGGCTAAACACCTCAAAACCATTCTGGCTCCTTTGGTGGGTAACACCCACCATCACATAGAAAACACAAAAGAATTTGTAAATAAAATCAAACACCTCCAGTTTGACACAGATGAGACAATGGTCTCGTTTGATTTGACATCGCTTTTTACGTCGGTCCCTATTACAGAGGCGGTGGAGGCTGTAAGAGAAAGCCTACAGAAAGATGCCACACTAGGGGAGAGAACGAAACTAACAGCTGACCACATCTGTGAAATACTTGAAATGTGTCTTAACACCACGTATTTCCAATTTAGAGGCACCTTCTTTAGACAGATTCATGGCTGTGCGATGGGCTCCCCAGTCTCTCCGATAGTGGCCAATCTGTATATGGAGAAACTGGAGGAACAAGCCCTGGGCTCTTACCAAGGGACAGCGCCAAGCCATTGGTTTCGATATGTAGACGATACATGGGTTAAGTTAAAGAAACAGGAAGTGGAACCATTTTCAGCACACATTAACTCGGTGGACCCTTTTATAAATTTCACTCGCGAGGATGCTAAGGAGGGTGAACTCGCCTTTCTAGATTGTAAGGTCATCATACTGGAGAACGGACAATTAGAGACTGAGGTCTTCAGAAATTCCACTCACACTGACCAGTACCTGGCCTTTGATTCAAACCATCCGCTACAACACAAACTCGGGGTCATTAGAACGCTTCAACACCGAGCCCACCAGGTCCCCACAAGCTCGGAAGGAAAGAACAGAGAAACCAAACATGTTCAGAGAGCACTTTCCAGATGTGGCTACCCCAAGTGGTCTTTTACTAAAGCCCAAAGGACGAGAAAGGCCAGAGACACAGTCCAACAGACAGAAGAAAGTAGGAGGAGAGGGGTGTCCTTACCGTATGTGGCGGGAGTTTCAGAGAAACTACAAAGAATCTTTAGGCAACACAAAATCCCTGTGTATTTCAAACCTTTCAACACGTTAAGACAGAAATTAGTGCATCCCAAAGACAAAACACCCAGACACAAACAGAGCAATGTGGTGTATTCAATTAAATGTAGTGAAGAGGAGTGCACTGACCACTATATTGGAGAAACCAAACAAACTCTACAGAAACGACTTTACCAACATCGTAGAGAAAACTCTAGTGGGCCACAGTCGGCTGTTCATCTCCACCTCAAGGCCTCCAACCACACGGTGGATGACACAGAGGTTAAAATTCTGGCTCGGGAGAAGAATTGGTTTGAGAGAGGGGTGAAAGAAGCCATTTTTGTGAGGAAACAAAAACCTTCTCTTAACAGAGGAGGAGGGTTAAGATTTGTTTTGCCTCGCATCTATGACGACATCCTAAAAACAACGCCCTAACTTGGGACAAGGTCAGTGACATGCTAATGAGTTAGGAGGGGTGAGACCTGCACTCCACGTGAGCATCCCAGCAGACAATAGGTCTGTGACATGCTAAGGAGTTAGGGTCGTTAGCCTCAGCAGGGTCGTTAGACCTGCTCCCTTCTACATCAAGCAGATCTTAGATTGTTTA